AAAAATGATAAATGGTTGTGGTTATTTTACGTCATTGTACTGTGAATCCCAATTGTTATCTGCTTGTCATGATTGTGAAACTGAAAAACTTATCTGTTTTGGTTCAAAATGCCAGGGTTGAGCGAAACAGATATTTGACTGAAAGGAAATTGTGTTTCGCTTTATATGTTTTTTGCGTGGTGTCGATTGCCGTCTACTGTTAGGTCTTCGACTTGCTCCGACGTTTCAGACCGTTTAAAATGACCAAAAACTGATGATCTTGTCTTGAAACATTTGCAAGTAGCTTTTCAATGGAGAAATTTTTTCTCCTTGAATTATGTGAGTATTCCAACCAAACCACTTATTTTTGCCAGGATTTTTTTTTTTGTAGTAATATTTGCTGAATCAGAGTCGGGCTCAATTAAATGATGTTTCGATCAAAAACAAAAGGAACAAATAACAATGTTACTGTGTGAGAATTTTTTTATTTTTTATTTTTTATTTTTTATTACTTATTTTTATACTTATTAATACTAGTTTTACAGTATTTGTAATAGTTAGTTACACGATCCCAGAGGCTTGTGACTTGAAACAATTCAAGTCCAATTGAAATTAATAAAAAGCCAGTTTCATTCTTTAATGCTAATGATTGAATCAAGCAAAAATCAAATTTTTTAATTTCGTTATTCGCAATTTATTCTGTGACCAATCAGATAATCGGATTAGTTTCGCCATTTCGGATCTATTTCGCCATTAAATATTAACTATAATTTTCTAAATTTGATTGATCTGCGAATTTCTTAAAAAATGACAAATGATAAACAAGTTGAATCAACTCAAAAAAAAACATATGGTAAAAGAAAATTCGTTGAATGGAGTGAAGAAGAAGATTTGAAGTTGACTGGATGCTTTGAAAAGTATAAACTTTTAATTCTTAACTCTTCAAATATTACTTTGTTATAATATTCTTTTATAATCTTTTTCTCTTTTAAAAAGATATGGCAGTGACTGGAGAAAGATAAAAGATGAACTTGGTTGTAATAGAAGCCTTGAACAAATTAGAAAACGTGCTCGCCATTTAAATTTAAATAAACCAAAAAGAGCAAGAAAAACAGTAAATAATAATACTTCTAGTAATAAAACACCTAATAAAAAAACAAAAACAAAAGCCACAACACCTAATACTACTACACCAACTAAAGCTAGATCACGATTAATTCCAATTTTACCAGCTGGTTCTGCACCACCACCACCACCACCACTATTACCATTGTCAATTCCTAATAATCGTCAGTTTTCTTCAACTTCACATTCATCTTCAAATATTAATTTACTATCTGATGGACTTGATGATAACACTACAAGTAAGTAATTTATGGATTTTGATTTTTTTGGTATTTGATGTAATGATAATATTATTATTATATTCATCATTATGATTAATTAGTGCCTGAAAATCAATCAACAAATTCTGAAATTAAACTGAAAAATTTTAATATTGGTATATTTAACTTTTTAATTACTGATTAATTTGATTAATTCATTAATATTAAACTAATTATTTTCAAAAAATTTGAGTTGTTTTTAGAAACTCTTGAAAAAAATGTTTTATTATTAAATCATGTAGAAATTACAGCAAAAAATGATCCAGAGTAGAATAAAATTATTGCTGTAAGAATTTTTTAATGCATTACATAATAGTATGTTTATTTATTATTTATAATTAATTAGATTTTTTTCTTCAAGGCCTTTGATTTATCTCCAGGTAAAATAAAAATAACAATGTTATATTTTTATAATAGTAATAATAAAATTAATAATTAATATTATTTATTTATACTATTAGATGAAGCTAATAAAATAGGACCAGATTATCGTTCTGTTTATACTTATTTATCATTTTCAAAGATTGTCAATAAAATCAACTGGAATTTTTTGTTACAAAGTCATATAACTTTATGATTTTAAATGTAATAGGTTTGACAATATTGTTATAAAGATTAGACATTCTTATCTTTCAAACAAATAAAGGTTTAAATTTTTTTGGTATGTTAGTTACTAAGATATTAAATTTTAAAAATACCCAATAAAAAATATTTTAGTGTGAGGAACCCATTTTGCACATACCTTCCTGACAGAAATTTCCCTATGTAAGATGGTTTCAATGGGAACCACTTGCTGAATACAGTCAAACCTCAATAAGCCGAACTTTTGGGAATCACAAAAATAGGATCAGCTTATCAAAATTCGGTTTATGATACAAACAGGGCTGGCAGCATAAAGGTTAAAACCTAATTTAGTAATAATCATCTTGACTAAACTTAACATATGACTAAATAGTTAGCCAGTTTAGCTAAATGCTCATTTGAGTTACGCAGCCCTGGATACAAAACGATTTTTATTGATTGTTCAAAATAAATTCGGCTTACAACGTTATAATATCCTCGTCTTTTTATCAGAACTTGACATGGTAAGAATTGTTGGGTATTGACCATTTTTAAACTGAATTTTATCATTATAAGATGAATTTTTAAAACCAGTTTATGATCATATTCGGCTTAGAAAGTTATATTTTTATTATTTTGTACAAACCATTAAGTTCAGTTTATCAAGTAAAGTAGAAATTATAATAAAATTCAGCTTAAACGAAATAATTTTTATTAAATATGATTTGGTTAGCCAATTTTGCATCGTTATAAAGCGGAAATCGATTTATGGTAGTTCGGTTTATCAAGGTTTGACTGTATTATTAATTGTAATATGGGGGTAGTCATTTATAAGGTAAGGTCTTCAATAATATTAATGTTTGAAGATGTGACAGCATTGCGGGGATGTCAAATGTCTCAATCCAGTGGTAAATTGTACATTTGGATAGTGCCTTGTCACCTTTAGCAGTGACCAACTCCCTATGAATGTCGGTAGCATCTTTACCATTCTTCCAGCATACCCAGATGTAGTATCATTGGTTTTCACGTGTAGTATTTTCCATTATTGTTAATAGGCAATATTGAAAAAATTATTTCTCCACAATTGTCAAATCCAAATTTTTTATTGCAAAATGATTATTCTCAAAATGGGAAATTGCACAGTGTCAAAACTTTTTGAACCCCCCATGTATAGCTGATCCTATCTACAAAATACAAAAAGAATGTAATGTAGTATTTCTGAACGACCTCTATTGATGTAAAATGGGTAAGATCTCTAATTCAAAAATATTCCAAAAGAGTCATACATGTGATGGATGGCATTAAGATTGCTTTTTTTACATCATGGACCTTTTCTAAAGAAAGGCCACATTAATTATATGCTAATAACTTAATATTTAATTCGAGTCTAATTCACATTACATTGATCCTTCCAACAATAACAAATGTTGATAAAGATTTATGTTAATAAAAAAATCCCAGGTAACTATATATTTTTAATAAATTTGTTAGTCCATTTTTCTAAAAAAGATTTGTTGATTCAATTTTTATTTATTTTCATTTTTGATGGTTGGGCCCTTTTCAATTATTCCTTAAAGCTTCCGACTCAATCTTACAGTGTCTAATTATTTTGGTCAAAGTTGCAAATATTCTATCACTGTCCAAAAATATAATGCCAAAAAATCAAACTAAATCCAATGTATTTGTTAAATATTTTTGATTAATTGCTGTATTTTTGTAAAATATTTTCAAGTACATTAGATTTTGACAAGTTTGACTAATTAAATCAAAGAAGCTCTTCTAAATATTCTTTGTTATTTGGTTTACCGTTAATGTTCAAAACTTCAAGAGTTCTTTTTAATGAAAACGGTCAAGCCTGATAAAAATGGCCGATAACCAAGAATATTTAAATGTAAAAATTCAATATTTGGAAATAAAATTTTCAAACTAATATGATAATCTTAAGGTTCTCAGGTTTTGAAATGTTGGTATCAATAAAGAGTTTGAATGTCTCCTCCTGCGCTACTATTGATTTTGAATGTTTCTTTGAGATCCGAATTCAGTTCCATTCTTTAATTTTGATTGTAATTAGCTATAATTAATTTGATCTAAATGAATTCCCTCATGGTTGATTTTAAATTCCAATAATTTTGCTAATTTATCAGAAAAATCGAGAAAAGCATAGGAATAAAAATGTAAATAAAGATTTTGAAAACAATTATTAAATATACATGATGCAAAATCAATTTTCAAGCCTTTTGATAGTTGCATAATTTGAAATAAAGTCCAGCGATCTTTTTTGTAAAACTCAATTCTTCACGAACAACTATCAACCATCTAAACCTTTCAAAGTATAATTCGGTCGTAAACCTGGAATAATTATATACTTCAACTTAATTTAATGTCATGTAAATTCTTATCTTCTACCAATAAACAATTAATTAATATATTTTGATGGATTTCTCCACAAAGTTGAATATTGGTATTGTGCCATTTCCTGTACAGTGTTTTACATTCATAGTCTTCAATGTATTTAAAGTTAAAAGGTGGTGACATTTATTTTTTTTAAAAAAAAAATAATTTGTGCAATTTTATTTAATTATATATATAAACATGTATTCACCCGACCAATTAAAATCTAAATAAAAAATAAAAAATCTAACAATGAATTTTTTTGTCTTCATAATAACTTTAGGTAAATTCACATTTTAAAAATCCTAAATCTTGGTATTTTTTTAATATATTTGTTGTTCGATCTCTTTTATCTTTTTCATAACCTCTCATTAATGCTGCTAGTGTTATCTTTAAAGGTTTAGGTCCTTTCCAATTCTCCATCAGAGTATCTAAAAATTTTTCACTATCAAAGTTAACATAATGTTTAAAATCCAACATATTTAAATTTATTGGCAACGTTTGTATTAAAGCACCCAAAATTCTATTGACATCCCATGTGGGTTTTGTTACCTCAATTGTAATAAATTTAATGTATTTTAATTTAACACAATTGTTGAATATCAATTCAATCAATTTTTGGTTTATTTTGTTATAATAAAATGTTGATAAATATTCTAAATTTCTGCAACATTGTCCAATTGATAGTAACAGTTCTCCCAAATTTTTCTTCTCGCCAAAGACACTTACTTCGCCATCAATATCTAGAAGTTTAAGAGTTTTTCCATTGATTTTGATGAAATCAGACAAGTCTATTAGAGATAGCTTGCGATCGATTTTTAAATATAAATATTCAATTTTTGGTAATAAAACAGATTTTAAATATTTTAAACTGGTGTCATTATAAAACAATGATAATCTTAAAATCTTTAAGTTTTGAAACTTTGGTATCAATAAATTGTTTGAAATATTTTTTCCATTGCTTTTATAATCAATTATTGAATTTGAATGAAGCAATAATGCGCCTTTGAGATCATCCGATAAACTTGTTATATTGTTATGTGAATAGATGTCCAATTTTTTAATTTGTTTTTGTGCTCTAATTAGTTGAACCAGATAAAAGATAATATTATGATCGTAGATTCCTTCGTAATCTATTTTTAAAACTTTAATGTTTTTACATGTATTTGCTAATTTATTAAGAAGTTCATATTTTTTAAAAAATTGGCAATCTAATTCGTAAAGGTTTTGAAAGCATGCATCGAATCTATGATAATCAATTGGCCATTGACAATCAAAGCCTTTTCCTTCAAACTTTTTGATAGATCCTGCATGGTCTAAAATAAATTCTATTAATCTTTTTCCTAAACAGCTAGCCATTAGTTTCTTATATTTAGGGTAGCGAAACCCAAAACATAATTCAGTTGTAAACTTGGCATAATTGTGTAATGGTGTTTTTTTCAACAGTTTAAATTTTAATTTAATATTATGTTCTGCCAAGAATTTCTTGTCTTCTGCCAATAAGCAATTAATTAATATTTCCATACTTCCATAAGAGTGGAATGGGTTTTTCCATAAGAATGGAATATTGATATTATGCCATTGTTTATTAATTAGAATGCAAGAATAGAACGTATGCTTCTTGTCAATATAATTAGATATCTCTAGCAAAATTTCAGGTGGTAAATTAAACATTTTTTTTTCAAAGAAAGAGAGAACATTGATATTTTTTTTACCAATTCAATTTTCGATAAACCAATTAGATTTAAACAAAAATGTGATAAAAAAAACATGATGCAACAATTGTACTACAAATACGATATGGGGCATGCTCAAATTAACATTATACCAAGAATTTCAGGGATCAAAATTTAATAATGTGATTTATTAGTATTAGTATTTATACTTACTGTAATAAAAACAACAAATCACAAAATAGGATCGGCTTATCAAAATTACAGTCAAATCTCGATAGGCCGATTTTATCTTTATAAGGATGCAAATTATCTTTAATATGATTTGATAAACCGAACTTAAAGATTTGATGTTGACCAATTTAAAATTCGTCTTATAATGATAAAATTCGGTTTATAATTACCTTAAAAGCAAATAATAGTAATACTATATACACTTGATATATCATCATAAACCAGATTTTGATAAGCCGATCCTATTTTTGTGATTCCAAAAGTCTGGCTTATCAGGATTTGACCGTAATTGAGAAACTCATTATATCAGATCCACAAAGAACAAGGTGAAAAAATTGCTCAAAATAAATGATACCTCGCTCAATAATAATAGTGTATCTCTGACCCCTTAATTTGAATATTCATAATTATATATATAGTGTACAATTTATTATTATTACCTGTTTATTATTATTATTATTCGAATTATTCGTAAAACAAAACAATTTAATTTTCAAGTTATCCCATTCATTGAGTTACTCGTTTCATTTGAATTGGCTATTTTATTTGTCCTTTATTCATTTTATTTGAAATATCCAAATGTTTCCCTTTCACTATCATTATACAAAGTTATATTTAAATTATTTTTATTTTTATTATCATTATTTATTATCATTATTGTTTGAATAAAATTTGATTTATTATATTCGAATATAAACCCTATAATGCTTTCGAATACTTATATAATATGTATATAAACCATTTGGACATTGTAGAGAAGCAGGCATTTCTACTTGACAAATTCAATTAGCTCCCTCTTCGATAAATGATCCCAAATAAAACTTTCTCTGGTTTTCCATGTTTTATCAATATTATTATTGGTCATTTTTTTTTATTTGTGAAGTTTGTTACAAATATTCAAAAGTATTTACAATATTCGAAAGTGTTTACGAATATTCGAATAAGAACAATTAAAAAATTTTTTTGGTCTTTCACTTATATTTTTTTTTATTTCTCTTTATTCCGTGATTTATTAACATTTATTTTATTTTTACAGATTAAAAAAACCATTCCAATGGGCAATGTATTGTGCATTTTATACATTTGGTTTGTTCCTATATATATAAAACTAAAAAAAAAAATTATTATATCTAAAATATGATTATATTTTATATCATATACACTCGTCTTCTTCATCTGGTATCCATAATGGTGACGGCAATGTATGTAGTGATGGTGATGCTCGCGATAGTGGTAATGTTAATGATATCTATAAATATAAATATAAAAAAATTAAATATAATATTATATCTACTATTGATGTTTCAGTTTACACTTACGGTTCGATGACATTTCCTTGGATCTGGTCCGGTATTATAATTTATGCGTTTTTTAGGACGAAGATTGCAATGAGCTGCATAATTATTGCATCATTATTTATTTCTATTATTGTTGGTAATATGAGATTTTTGTTTTAATTATGGAAGGGGACACTACCTGCCTGAATACACCAGTCTCTAACATTAATACAGTTTTTATCTTGACTCATCCAAATCCTTTCTACAAAATGATGTCGCCCCGTGCTCTCATTTTTATTGAATAATTTCTTCAATGCTATTATTTTTGGTATGTGTTTTTAACTCAATTGAAGTATCATCATTGCTCACAGGAAGAGTATCGTCAATAAAAGCTGCATTCTCGGTATATAATAATGATTCGAAGTATTGTTATTATCACCACCAGATATCATTATATTACGAGGAATGAATGAGGATTAATAAAGTGCCTTACGATTTTCGGAATGTGATTTTAATTCACTTGAAGTATCATTATTGTTTTGACTGTCACGTTCAGATTTTGATAACCAACCTTTATAATTAATATAACCATTAGCATCATTTTTCTATTACTGTAAATATATTTCATTAATTTGCCAAGCTTACCAGAAATAATTTTTTATTAAATCATCTAAATCGCCTACTATATAAGATATTAACGTCATGAACCTTTAATAATTGTATAAATACATTATTCCGAATATTAATATGTGAATTGTTTAAAAATGAAGTTGTGCTAATCAAATACAAAAGAAATTTAATACCAAGTTGCAATGGCCACGCCATTCTTTTTAAATAACTAGAATGACAACTAGTTGTAATGTCGTTATTAGGTCGTAATGTCATAATATAGACCAAATGTAATAATCAATGTATGTAATCCTAAAGAAATCTGAAGACAAGGTTATACAACTTCCAAAATATGTATAGTTAAGTTTGAATTAACTTTTGAGTTACATTAATTGATTAATTGCAAGCTTTTATATTCAATGCTCATCATTAACCTTGTTTTACGAATTTGCTGCCTCTTTCTTGCACCTAGAAAGCTTCGGCGAATCTGTAAGCACACTTTTATGGTAGAATCAACAACAAATAAAGCACGGCCCTGTTATAAAGCAATGAATGTTTTAGTGAAGTTCCTTGCTTGCTTATTTTACTTTGGCTGATCAAATTCAGCCGTACATTTGCAAGAAAAACATGGAGATACATGGATTTATATGCAGAATATGCTGTTAAGAAATACAAATCACATAGAAAAATTCCCAAGAATGTATTAGAGTATAGTTGACTTGGTCTAAAGACCTCCTAAATTTTGGGCAAATTTTAAAAGTATAGAAGTCATTTTCTGTCCTATCTTTTAAAAAAATAGCTCTATTAGTTAATAGAATATGTATTTAGTTTTAATGTAATAAAGATATTTTCTCAAAAAAATTCTTTGTTGTAGAGTTCTATTCTTTTTTAAAACATGCACTTTACTATGCTCATGAGAGATTTGAGCGCTAGGATCATTGCTAAATTTAGACTAGTTTTTGACCATCATTACTAAATTTAGACTAATACTCGATCATCATATCTAAATTTGGCAGTAAGGAAAATAATTTTTTAACCAAAATCACGTGAAACCTATTTTTAAAAATTTTATTGCATTTTTGAACAAATCACGAAATCGTGATTTTTGAAATTTGAGCGCGTGGCGCAGCAATAGGAGGTCTTTAGACCGAGCCAACCATAGTTAAATAATTAATAAAAATAATTTTTTTATAATTTTTGATTGGATAAAAGTCATGTGTCACATTTATGATCGGCAAAATCAAAATGTGAAATTCGGACTGTTCAGTTTCTAAATTTGATTGATCTGCGAATTTTCTTAAAAAATGACAACAAATGATAAACAAGTTGAATCAACTCAAAAAAAACAAATGGTAAAAGAAAATTCGTTGAATGGAGTGAAGAAGAAGATTTGAAGTTGACTGGATGCTTTGAAAAGTATAAACTTTTAATTCTTAACTCTTCAAATATTACTTTGTTATAATATTCTTTTATAATCTTTTTCTCTTTTAAAAAGATATGGCAGTGACTGGAGAAAGATAAAAGATGAACTTGGTTGTAATAGAAGCCTTGAACAAATTAGAAAATGTGCTCGCCATTTAAATTTAAATAAACCAAAAAGAACAAGAAAAACAGTAAATAATAATACTTCTAGTAATAAAACACCTAATAAGAAAACAAAGATAAAAGCCACAACACCTAATACTACACCAACTAAAGCTAGATCACGATTAATTCCAATTTTACCAGCTGGTTCTGCACCACCACCACCACCACCACCACTGTCAGTTCCTAATAATCATCAGTTTTCTTCAACTTCACATTCATCTTCAAATATTAATTTACTATCTGATAGAGTTGATGATAACACTACAAGTAAGTAATTTATGGACTTTGATTTTTTTGGTATTTGATGTAATGATTATAATAATAATATTATTATTATAATCATCATTATGATTAATTAGTGTCTGAAAATCAATCAACAAATTCTGAAATTAAACTGAAAAATTTTAATATTGGTATATTTAACTTTTCAATTACTGATTAATTTGATTAATTCATTAATATTAAACTAGTTATTTTCAAAAAATTTGAGTTGTTTTTAGAAACTCTTGAAAAAAATGTTTTATTATTAAATCATGTAGAAATTACAGCAAAAAATGATCCAGAGTAGAATAAAATTATTGCTGTAAGAATTTTTTAATGCATTACATAATAGTATGTTTATTTATTATTTATAATTAATTAGATTTTTTTCTTCAAGGCCTTTGATTTATCTCCAGGTAAAATAAAAATAACAATATTATATTTTTATAATAGTAATAATAAAATTAATAATTAATATTATTTATTTGTACTATTAGATGAAGCTATTAAAATAGGACCAGATTATCATTCTGTTTATACTTATTTATCATGGTCATTGAAATATAATAGTAGGGATTTGATTGATGAAAGGATGGACATTGGCGAGAAACCCGAATTAACTAGTAAAGGTTTAATTATTTAATCTCAATAAATTTATTTATCCATTTGCTACTTAAAGGGCATTTACTAATGCTTTTTTTTTGTTTTTTTACTCATAATAAAGGCAAGGTTATACTAAAGAGTTTTATCGATCATTTAATAAACAATACAAATGAATTGTTTACACAAAGACAAAGAAAATTTATTATGCAGAAATTATACTTGCTTAAACAAGCACTTACACCAGGTGGAAACGAAAAAATCACTATAGGATCATCAACTCCAAGTAATCCATTATCAATACCATCTGATTTACTTAAATCCGTTACCACCTCCCTGAACAACAACAACAACAACAACAACAACAACAACGACGACAATAACAACAACAACAATAATAACAATTAAAGATGAGAGAGCAAGGGGTATGATTTTTTTCCTGTGACATGAGGTAAAATATTTTTGTGCTCAAACCTAATTTTGCATCTTGTTTTGCAAAAGTGTAAGATTTTACAATAAACGTTTATTATCTTATAACACATAAAAATATAATAGGCATAAAAATAAAAAGGTGAATAAATAAACTTAAAAAAAGTAAGGGTTAATTAATTTGAATTAAAATGCATCATAGTTAAATATCTTGAGACAGATTTTGCCGATTAGTATCAAGATGGTAAAAAGAAAAACCTCTTTCAACTGTACAACTGGAAATTGGTAACCAAATATAATCTAGACAAAATTGATTTTATCTAGCCATCGTATTTGAGAATGTTGTATGCGAAATTGAAACTGTGAAATTTTGGAATATGAAATCCTGATTGGTAATTTGAATTTCGAATGGTCAAATTTCATTTTCACGGATAAATGTAAACAAACTGTGGCGGTGAAAGATCACTACTTTATTAACTGACATAAAAAATAAAATAATTATTAGGTTTATAAATATTAGACACCCACATTATTGTAAAATTGCTTATCGAACAAAGAATTGAATGTTTTTTCTATTTCAATGAAATTTTAAAGAGCGTAAATTGGTAAAGGATTCCCTCGGAAGGCATCATGAAAATTAAAGATATAGGAGAATTGGTTGATGAGTATCCAGTTTGTTGGAATAAAAAAGAAATGATGGGTAATAGATAAAATTTTTATTTTAAAATTGACAAATATCAGATATTTCATGAAAATTTACAATTGTTATTTTAGCTTTGATTCATATAAAAGTGTTCATTTGAACCAATTTACAACTTTTTGGCATAACCCATACCAAATCCATATTTTTGTTTGGGACCTTGCAATTACACAATGTCGGTAATTCCTGAAATGATGATAGTGGTTCCGATACAGTTCACTCTCTTTATAACGAACCCTCTGTCCCTATATGTAATTTCTCTGCTTTTGGTCGTTATAGAGAGAGTTTATTAAGATGGTCGTTGTAGAGAGAGGAATTAATTATAAAAAATTGAAACGGAGACAAAAGGGAAGTTCGTTATAGAGAAATTTTACTTAGTGGTCGTTATAGAGAGAGCAGACTGTATATATTTCTAATTTGGTATGATCTTTCTTGTTAATTAAGATTATTGTGTAACTGTAACAACAAAAAATTTTTTTTATTTATTATATACAAACAAAATGTCAACTTACTTTTCATCATTGGAAAATTTAAACTTATTATTTAACAACCTTATCAATTCCAACGACAATGCCCTTCCATTAAAATATGTTGGGAAACTTGTAAAAGATTTAACAAAGTTATTGAATGAGTCTGATTTTTGTGATGTAGAAATTAGTGTTGGAGTAGATGAGGATGTTAAGATTTTTAAAGCTCATTCTAGTATTTTAAAAGCAAGGTCTCCATATTTTGAAGCTGCTTTATCAAGCAATTGGATAAAACAATCTGATGATGGTATTATGTTATTTAAAAAAAAAAACATTTCTCCAAATATATTTGAGGTTCTTTTAACGTAAGATTATTCAATTTTTATTAATAATTAAATGATTATAATATATAACTTAAATTACTTTATTTTATTTTATAGATATATTTATAATGGAACTCTTAATATAGATAATCTGGATGGAAATGAAATTTTTGAACTTCTTGAAGCATGTGATGAATTAAACTTTAATGAATTAATTAATGATTTACAAGACTATTTGATTAACAAAGAAAAAAAATGGATTCAACTGAATTTAATTTATGCCCATAAAATTTCATCACGTCATCAATCATTCAAATTGCTTCAAGATTATTGTTGTGAGATAATTAGTAAAAATTCAGAATTATTTTTTAAATCTAATGACATTATAACAATTGAAAAATTCATGCTTATAACTATGTTAGAAAGAGATGACTTGGAATTAAGTGAAATTGATATTTGGGATATTGTCATTCAATGGGGAAAAAATCAAAATGAAAAATTAGACAAAGACATTTCAGAGTGGAAGAAAGAGGATTTCATTGTGTTAAAAAATATAATAGAAGATTTTATTCCTTTAATAAGATTCAATCAAATCTCTTCAAATGATTTTTCTGATAAAATTCTACCATTTAAAAAAGTTTTTGATAAAAAAGTATATGAGGAAATTTTTCTATACTATATTAGTGATAAATGGAAACCAAAACTATTACTTCAAAAAGGCCCAAGATCAAAAACAATAACAAAAACAGGAAAATTATTAAATTTACAAATGAAATCTCTAATTTCAAGTTGGATTGATTATAAAAATGGTTTATATAATGAAAACAATATACCTTATAAATTTGAATTAATTTTTCAGGGCACTCAAGATGGATTTTCTAGAACTGCATTTGAGAATAAATGTTATAATATTGAACAAACTGTAGCCATTATGAAAATTAAAGATACTGGAGAGTTGGTTGGTGGTTATAATCCAGTTGGTTGGAATATAAAAGATGGGTATTGGATTAAAACTGATAAAAGTTTTATTTTCAAAATTGACGAAAATCAGATAAATGATTCGATATTAAGTAGAGTTATAGATCCAGAACGTGCAATATATGATAATAAACAAAAGATTAGTGTAACTCTAGATAATATAGAATTTCATGAAAAAACTATAAATTTTCGGAATTTACAATTATGTAATAGTATTAATCATGAACCTTATTGTTATTATTATATTAATTTCTTGGATTCTTATGAAAATAATTTAAATCTCAGGAATAAAAGTAGAAAAATTCATTTGATAGAAGAATGTGAGGTCTATAGAATGGTAAAAACAAATTAGTTTATTTAATTGTACATATTATTATTATTATTAAATTTATAAAATAAATTCATGCTTCTACATGTAAGACTCTGAACAAGTCTATAGAATAGTAAAAACAAATTGATTTATTTAATTGTACATATATTATTATTATTAAATTTATTAAATTCATGCTTCTACATGTAAGTCTCTGGGCAAATCAATGTGGTTGAATCGATTTGAATCACCAATTTTTGATTTGTTTTATTTGGATCATGATTCGAATTGATTTTGAACATATAAATAGTTTAATTTGACATGGTTCAAATCTAATTCAAATATATACCATATGAAATAATTTGAATTTTAAAAGAGCTGCCTTTGGAAATAAATGGTTTTGAAAGCCAAAAAAATATTTACCTCATGCAATAATTGCATTTGGCTTTTCCATCTACAACTGTGAAATGGTTCCACACTTCACTTCTTGTCCTTCTTTGGACACATTGCACTGTGTCTGTTTAAGAAGTAATTGAAGAGACACAATACAATTATCATCATCATTGTTATATTTATTATTTAAATTTAAAACAATGATGTGCAATTGTAAATTATATTACTTTTTTTGTTATTAATATTAATATGTAAGATTCTATTTGCAACATTTCTTAATTGCAAATATGTAATGTGGCACAGTAATACGAATTTATTTCGCGTAACGCGTTAAATTAAAACGAAACGTTACTATGCAACTTTACTAATTATTATATTATTGTTATATTACTTATATTATTATTTATATTACTTATATTATTAATTATATTACTTATATGGGGCATGAACAGCAAAAAAAGCCGAATTTTGGTTCCTGGTAATTTTTGGGATAATAATTCAATAATATATAAATTGAGGCGAACAATCTTTTTGGCTTAGAAGTATACCCACACTTGCATAATAAAATCATGACATATTCAAGAAAATTGTTTTATATGACATATTAAATCTTAGGAAGATCTGCAATTTTGTACCCCTTTTTCTCAAAAACATGTTTTATAAAAATTCGGCCTTTTTTGCAGTCCACGCCCCATATTACTTATATTATTATTACTTATATTATTATTTATATTATTTTCTTTATGTATATGAGTTACAAATTAAGTGCTGCAGCTTTTGGTAAGTTCTAAAATATTATTATTATGATTGATAATAATTTATTTATTTAATTGTAATATTATATTATGCATTTTTGTATAAAAAGATAAGCTTTCTGTAATTAATAAAGATAACTTGTATTTTTAATAATAATTAAAACAATTAGTATTTTGATGTAAGGAAAAAGGGTTTCCTTACACTATTCCTAGTACAAGTTCTTATTTGAATTATTTGTTTCATTTGTTTCATTCATTTATTTGAATTATTCATTTATTCAAATTACTTGCTTTATTCAAATTACTTGTTTTATTCATTTATTTGGATTTGTTTTATTTGAGTAGAAGTTTTGAGCAGGCTCAAGTTAAATTTGAATTTTTCAAGTTAAAGAAAATAAGCTCTTAAATAGTTTTTTTAGGTAATATGCATGAATAAAATATGGAATAATATTTTTTACCTAAAAAAATTTTATACAACATCAAACTCAAGCCTTACTGATGACATTACAACAGTTGAAAAATCCATGCTTATAACTATATCAGAAAAATAAACCTTATGTAAACCTATGTAGGGTTCAAAATTTACCAGCATTATGTGGAATTGTTACCAGAATTACCAAAATATCAACATAATGCTGGCCAATTTTGAACCCTACATAGGTTTACATAAGAATTATTTTCCTGATGCTATGTTAGAAAGGGATGACTTGGAATTAGATGAAATTGATATGTGGATATTGTCATTCAATGGGAAAAAATCAAAATGAAAAATCTGATAAAGACATTTCAGAGTGGAAGAAAGTGGATTACATTGTGTTAAAAAATATAATATATAGAGGATATTATCCCTTTAATAAATCTCTTTAAATGATTTAAAAAAGCCTTTGATAAAAAAAGTATGCAAGGAAATTTTTCTATATTATATTAGCAATAAAAAGAAACCATCATTTCATACCAGATCATCCCATCATTTTCACAAATCAACCTTGTCTTGTGTTATATATATACGCACAAAATTTTTACTTCAATGAAATCTCTAATTTCAAATTGAATTAATTACAAAACTGGTCCATATAATGAAAACAATACACTTTATAAATTTGAATTAATTTTCAGGATATTCAAGGTGGATTCCAAAGATCTGTATTTGAGGATAAATGTTATAATATTGACAAATTGTGACCTGAAAAATATGATACAGGAGAAATGGTTGGTGGCTATAACCAGTTGGTTGGAATGAAAAAGAAAAGCCTTCAAATGATGGGTATTGTATTAAAATAGATGGAAATCAAAGATAAATAATTCAATATAAGTATAGTTACAGGATTTGCAATAGTTCATAATTAAAAAAAGATTAGTGAGACTATAGATAATATGTGACATATTGCAACAGGACCTGGACTGTTATAATTGAGGAAACATATGATTTTGATAAAGTTTTTTGCTAAAGTTATGTGATTCATTCAAAAATGCAATAAAATTTTTTAAAAAAGAGCTTCAGATGATTTTGGTTAAAAAATTATTTTCCTCACTGCCAAATTTAAAATGATGGTTGAGTATTAGACTAAATTTATAATGATGATCAAAACCTAAT